TTTTTTTTTATATATATATATATATTTTACTTCCCCAAAGCTTTCAATGGTAATGAAAAAGTATATATATGGTGCTCGCAATGATATAATTAACTCAAAACACATGGCTACTTTTGAATGGCATCAATGGCTTTGCCTGCTTGGACTAGACAGCATTAATCTGGCAACATGGCGAATGTGGTGAATGCAGATCATAAATATATTTAAAATATATTCAATAAAAGTACAAATAAAATTAGTTCCATTTACTATAAATGGAAAGACTAATTCACCCACATAATCTAAATCACGTAATCATTACTGAATTCCTCTTAGTAGTCGCCACATACTTCACATTTGCATAAAGTTGAATTCTGCCAACAGTCGCTGCTGTTCATGTTACTTCAAATCGTCAGCAATAATTGAAAATAAATGACTTCTGGTTGTTTTGTTACTCTGAATCGCTGTCAGTGAATGAAGTTGCCTATGTAGACATAAGGCAGAGCAGCAGCTCACTAAGTTTTGGAACAGAGCTACTGACAGAGCTCGGCTGGAAAAGTACAACGATAAACATGACAGCGGGCATTTCTTACTGTCATCAATAAACTAGCTGTACTGTCATGTGCATAGCAATACACAGAGTATAAATTAATCATTGTGAAAAATAAATATGTGTGCCGCTCAGAACTGTTGTATCAGCACAGCTCCACTGCAGACCTCGCGCTCACTGTACGAATTCTCTAATGAGTGCATTCAGATGCTATTTGTTAAACAAGTTCATTCAAATTCCGCAATCAGCTGTGGAATATGGCTTTCATTTCCAGAATCTTCTTCGTGTTACCCATGACCTCTGCTAGATCTCTCAGAGGTTGCTGTGGAATTGGAATTCTTATTAATCCAACAAGTAGCTTTGGGAAGCCATAAAGCAAAACAGAGTCATTATCTAGTTCAGTAGCGCTCCAGAGAGAAACGGCACTGAGTGTATACTAATAATTAGCAGGAACGAAGCATTTACAAACAAAGTCTCATTAATAGTGAGTGTGACAGACATCTCCTTCAAGCCCCATGGAGCTTGTGAGCAGCGCAGATGCTCTGTCCCTCCATGGCTGACATTGAGCATCACATTACTGTTCGTAAACGACACATCTGTGGAGGCGCGGAAATGAGCACACGTGTTTTGTCTCGACTTACCAGCCTATGAAATTAGCCCGGGGTCATCAGGGGAAGTGTGCACATCTCAGCCACTCAGCAAGATGTTTCTTTCTGAAATGAAAATAAATTGTCTTAGGAATGGGTGAAGACACAAGTGAAACTCCTAGTCGGTTTAGAGCTTTGATTGATTACATTCGCACAAGATGGGAGGGTGTGTTTGCAGAGGAGAAAAGGCATTCAATATATTCAGTGAGACTAGACGCAGCACAAACTACTTGAGGCACAAAGATGCGATGTATCTAGAATGATCTGAAACACTCACCAGACCTTGTCTCCAACATGAAAGCGAGATGTTCTTTAGCAAACATGCAGTTGGTGGTTTGATGAATTCTTCTTCGAATAGAAGCCAAAAAGAACATGATAGAGTGATTTTTATCGAGTATCATCACTTTTATTTATACAGCGCTTTATACAATACATGCCCGGTTTCACAGACAGGGTTTAGACTAAGCCAGTATTAGGCCATAGTTCAACTAGGACATTTAAGTAATTTTTATAAACATGCTTAGAAAAAAACATTACTGGTGTGCATCTTGAGACAAAACAAAGGCTCTGATATATCTTAAGATCAGTCAGTGAAAGTTTCTTTCAGTTGAAACAGCTCAGACTTACATTTTAGTCTGGGACTAAGCTTAAGCCTTGTCTGTGAAACTGGGGGATAGAGTTTCAAAGCAGCTTTACAGTATAAAAAAAAATAAATAAATAAAAAACACGGAAAATAACAGAATCAATGATTGAAACTTCTTCAAATATGAGATGAAGTTGTAAGAGAATTCTGCTGTAAAGCAACTCTAAAACTGTGTAGAGTTAATCAATTATGAAACAAGTTCAATTTAGCTATAAACAGCTTAACCAAAGGCAATAGTGTTGTTAGTAATCTCAAGTCAGTTAAATGTTGATTTTATTTAGTTCAATAACAGTTTCAAAGTTTGAAATTTAATCAATTATGAAGCAAATTTATTTCAGCTATATATAGAAAACAATAGTGTCATCATCTAGCTCAGTTCAGTTCAACTTTTGTTCTCATCCGATAGCGTCACTGCAGCCAAATACATGTAGTAATATTACTGCATATTAAGTTTCGGTAACACTTTACTTAAAGCCTTTATGTATAATGCATTATAAAAGTAGGTTTAATGCATTAATTACTGTATGCCTTGTAATGCACCTTATAATGCATTGTACAATCTTGTGAATAATTGTTAATACATTATAACACTTATCAATTCATTGTTACACTATGCAATTTAAATTCAGTTTTAATTGCACATTATGAATAATTATAATGTATTATACCCTTTAATAACTATTTATAATGCATTATACATAAAGACTTTAAGTAAAGTGCTACCTAAATTTCTTTGAGACTCCAATTAAAGAAGCCAAAGGCGACAGTGGCAAGGAATCCAAACTCCTTAAATAGTAAAAAGAGTAACATTGTATATTTTGGAATATCATCACTCACAAGGAACCCAAAGTCTATCAGGTAACAGAAATTATCACTGTTTCTACACCTACTAACTTGCCATGCCGTCAACTGCCTACATAGGCTGCATCTACCAAAATAGAACCTGATATGTGAGTGATCTGAAATGTTCTACATAGGTAGCAACACATCTAGCACTTAACATGGAGGACTTCAAAACAGTTTGATGATAGCATGTTGCTGAGTCAATGATATAGCATAAAAATACAAAGTAATATATTTTTCTTACCACAGTGCATATACCAGGATATCAACTTGAGTGCTACATAAGATGCAGCCTTATATTTAGTCCAAAAACAGGGTATAATAATGTTGCCTACCTTTGGGAACAGCTTTCACATCAGAAGTGCACATACTGTACAGTATACTTCTTAAAATGCTGTTTAGGTCAGGGGTTTTGATGCCAAGAGAAATATGATTGTTTGTGAGGAAACCCCTTAAATATCCTTAAATATAAGAATTAATTAAATATTGTAGAGATGCTGTTTTCAAAATGTCCCAGTACTGATTCAAATATGGAATATGTACAGTATGTTGAGAGTGTATGCTTTTTTTTCCAATTACGGTTGTAGATAAGCTAGATATATGCCTTAAAAAAATATATATATTCAAAGTAAACAAATAAATGTTTATTGTTAAAGCTTGCGCTGCCAATAAGTGGATAATCTACACTTAAAAAATGGTGTAGAAACAATTGCTAGTAAATTTCTTTATGTAGAAAGACAGAAATAGTATTTTCTTGTAAAATATGGAAACATTTTAGTGTATTCGTTTTTAGAAACCAGAGTAAAACTAATAATATTAAATACAATTCAGTTCTAATATATTAAAAATGTGTTGCTTAGTGCTGCCAAACTCATTCAAACGAATCCAAAATGAACGTTTTTGTTCACATAATATATGTGTTTGTACTGTGTATATTTATTATGTATATATAAATACAAACACATGCATGTATATATTTAGAAAGCTATGTTATGTTTATATAATAAATATATTTATATATATAATATAAATTATATTCATATAAATATATACATGTAAATATTGTAAATATATATACTGTATGTGTGTGCTTTTATATATACATAATAAATAGTAGCAGTACACACACATATATTATGTAAACAAAAACTTTTATTTTGGATGTGATTAATCGCGATTAATCGTTTGACAGCACTACTTCATACATGATAAAATAATAGTATTTATTTATTTTATTTTATTTATTAATATATTTTTGCTGAAACAGCCCTCTTTTGAAAACCCTTGTCTAGATAAGTAACTAGTAGTAAGGATTTGGAAAAGACTGTTGAAATTGTATGTGAATTTCAGTGTTTCTCATGAGCAATTTCTTCTTCCCAGGCACTGGGTAAAGTGTTGTGTTGTGTTGTTGTGTTGTAATGAATTGGATATTTCACAGAGTAACAAGAGCAAAGCCTTGTGGGTCATTTAGTGCACAGCTGTATGGGAATCCCACAGCACTGGAACTTTACAGCTCTCTGAATGAAGCAATAAAGGAGCGTGAATATGCACATATGCAGGAGCAGAGCTAAGAGGAGGGGTCAGGATGGTGCGGAATAAAGGCACCTGTCTCCGCTTCTCTCAAGAGAACCATTTTACCATTTTAATCAACTCTGAGAGAGGACCACACTCCTGTTCCAGATACACGAGCCAGGAATCCGCTCTTCAAGACGCCACGGATGACTAAAGAGAGCGCATAAACCTGACGGAGAATAGAGCTGCATGTAATATCACAATTAAAGTGAATACGGTGCCATTGTGTACCCGTAAGCACACGGGAGCCATTCATGTTCCGTGAAATGCTAATTTCACACGCTGTCGACCCATCATGGATTTCCAAAGTGCTGAAATGCACAATCATTTGCATGAGGGATTCAGCTGCTTAAAACAAAAGAATTATGTTCTCAGGTTTAGCTTCCACAAACAGCCAAGCAGCATCACCAAAACAAGCGCTGTATGTGGAAGCCAAGAAAAGTTATCTTTAGGGACAAATGGGGTAATGAAGTGGCCCAATAAGGTATAACCTATTCATTGGGCAGGTCCACACATAAAAATTTAGTCTTGTCCTGCTGCAAACAATGTAGCCTTTATTGCTCAAGCCTGTCATTTGTGTTTCTGATGTGTGTGCACATTCTCAGGTCAAATGAGCCTCAAAATTAATCAGACATCAAAAAGAACTGCAGTAAGTGAAATAAAAATACAGCTAAGCACAAACTTGCTCACAAACTACACACATTCATTTATTTGTTTATCTTCAAGGCATATACAGTAGATCTAGCTTTAATAGATGTAGCGAATCAGCTCATGGGGAAATATGAATAATTAATCATAACTAGTTATAATTAATTATAAATATTTAGATCCGCTGTAGATATTTACTTGACCTCTCAGGGTCAACTGTCTGTCAATTCTAAGAACGTTAATTTCCTGGTTAAGGGAAATAACTTTCTTACTGTACAGTTCTACAGAGAGCCTGTAGCATAAATCGGCATGATTAAGGGACTCCAGTTATGAGCAAACAATGAACAACGTCAAGTGTGATACAAGTAAGACTTTATTAACTACATAAACACTTAAACTAGTCTAACATACTACATAAATGAGGGGACTGTGACGATTTGTTAATCTAATGAATAACTGATTTGTTAAATCAAATGAAAAATTGTGTGTTTGATTCGTCCAGACGCTACATAGAACAGGACAAAACATACTCTAATATATTTTTATTTCAGTTTTAGTTAGTACTTCAAGTTAAACTAAAAGATGTGAAATGGTGCCTTGACAATTAGCTGAAATAAGTTTATTTTCTTTTATTACAGTTAAAATTGATTTATTTATGTATTTATACATAGACGTGTTTGTTTGTTTGTTTTTTTACTGTGTGTAAGAGAAAAACTATAATAGCACATCAGTGATATCACTGAAGTGTGTGTGTGTTAGGCATATGACGGTATCAAATTTTCATGTTGCGGATAATTGCTAATGCTTTTATCACGGTATACGGTATTATCACAATATTGAAATTTAGTTGCAAAGAAGTGTTGTCATAATACAGTATAACATGTTTAATAACGTTTTCTTATAACAAAAAGTACTGAACATTTAAATACAATAAAGCAATGCACAAAAATGTAGGCTATAAAGTAAAAAAAATCACACAGATTAAAGTATTATAAAGACCAATAGGTAACACTTTAGAATAAGATCTCATTAGTTAACCCTAAGTTCAGGGCCGCTGCTGGCCAAATGGGTGCCCTAAGCAGGATTGTATTGTTGTGCCCCCTTCCTCCAATATTATGGAAGTAAAAAAAAACAAAAAAAAACACCCACTATAGGGGTCAAAACAGAACTTTAATAAAATATAAACGTAAATAAATAAATAAATTGTATTATTTACAAATTACAATTGTAGCCAGACAGTTACCTATGGCTATGACTTTATTAATACAGTTGTCTAATTGATTTTATAGTCTCAATCATTCAGAAATCACGCAAAAGAAAATTAAGCAGTTTTACTACGATAAAACCATGGTTTATTTTTGTAAGGGTTGTGATGTCTACATGTTTTTTGTTGAAGAAATTATAGAGGCTGTGTCATCTATAGCAAAAAGCTGGCCAAAAATTAAAGATGAAGTGAATATTTGAATTAAATGTTTGCCCAATAGCCTAAACAAGGATTTAATTGTCCTGTAAGTGTAGGAGCAGCAATTTACCAGGCCTTTGGCTCCCTTTGCAGGCATTTGTAATAAGATGTAATTTACATAAATTGTTTATTTTGTATTAGCCTACATTATGTATTTTAACAGTGTTATTAACCAATCACTATCGCCTCATTGTTTTTATATAATGCATTTTAAGTCATTTTAAAGGCTATTGTTGGCTTAGGTCTGTTTTTATAACCACAAAAATTATTATCTTAATACGTCTTTGTAAATTATTATTTGAAGTAACAAAACCATGGTTAATTTGGCTACCACTTTTATTAGACTGAGAAAAAGCACTGACAGCATCTTTTGCAAAATTAATATACCCTACCCTTTGGAACAGCTAAGAAACAATGCATTAGTCTGCAGCTTTTATTTAGCAATAAAAACGGCTGTACTTTTGTTACGAGCTAAACGTGAACTCGCAGGACGTAATGCATTTTTAATGCTCAAGATACTGGAGCCATGCTGTGGTTTTTCTGAGCCTCAGTGAAGTCAAGCTGTCACGTTAAGCCATTACACACAGAGGAGATCCCAAATACGACTGCAAAGCTCAGATTTTGCGTTGAGTTCAAACGGTGCAGCCACCACTGAGAAGATGTATGGTTTAACATCCTAAATGGAGAACAACAACCCAAAATGCACCTCGGTTTGTGTTTATGAGCAGGAACTCACTTGTGTAAGAGCACAATACACTGACGTTCAGGAAAACAGCATGTCTGTGAGAGTGACTCATGCTGACGGGAATAGGAAAGGTTGAAAACGACAACATGGAATATTAAAAAGTAAAACTCTTTTGATGAATGTTGATAAGCGGGTTTCTAAAATGAAACTTGACAAGCTTTTTCTTCCCATTATTGAGTGCTACTGTAAAAACCACACAGGTGTCTTCACATCATCTGTGCATATTCTCTCAAGCAGACCGTCTTAGAGGATTGGATAAATTCAGATCGTAAAACCCATCAATCGAAGTACTGAGATCTGAATCACTGATTCGGCACATACCTACATATCCAAATATTACAACACACACATATACAGTACATTACAGCTATACTGAATAAAACAAGCAAATGTTTTACACATTTATAGTAGAAACCAGATAAAGCAGTTCAAAATGAACCCAAGGCCTTTTATTACAAGGGGGACGTATACTGAAAGGATATGGGTAAAAGTAGATTTGTGAGGGGAAAACAATTTCAGACACCCAGCACAGCTCAATCAGCTTCCACTGATCACAGCTCTTCATCACAAACCCACTGCACTGCAGAGAGCCAAAGAAAAAAGCAACAATCTCTGTTCTATCTCTGTTTATTTCTGCTCTTATGTGGGTATTTAGACTCAGTCACTTCATGCATCTTGATCAATCAAACTGCTATTCGATTGAGTATGTACATTCAATTTGCACTTGGCTACATGAATGTCTCAGGTAAAATATATTTAAATTCTATTCTCACACTATTTGCAAACATAACAGAGTTAATTTCCACAATGATTGTAGTGGCTGCAGGAGTAAAATTTGCTATCTGTCTCAAATGCAGAACATCTTGGAGAGTATTTACTTGGTCTTTTCAATCCGGATAGCTACCTGTTCATTAAAATTGCACAAAATCTGTACATCTTTATACTCTCTTGCTCTGTTACGACATCTGGTGAACATAGACAGCATTTTAAGACAACACTGCTTTCCATGCAAAGGCTATTCCTAACAGAAGGCAGAAAAATTATACAACTGTATAAGATATCTCATTTTGGCCAAATTCTAAAGCAAAATCACATCTCTTTAATAAGGTAATCCCAGAATGAATTGCTTTGAGCTTATCCAAGACAACAGATAGAATCCTGAGAAATGTGATTATAAATTTGCTTCTGTTTCATTCAGTACTAAATGTTATGTGCTATAGATTTTTATGTTAATACTAACTACTGGAATCAGCTGGTCACTAATTGTTGTACTGTCATGACAACTCATTAGCATTGTAATGTTCATACAATGTTAATGTGTTTAGTCTTGGTGGAATAGATCTGCTACACTGCTGCTGAGGCAGAACAAGTACCAAGACTTGCTACTGCCAATACATCCACAGACATGCTGTTGTGAGCATATAGGAAATATTGCTGCTGCACATATAACATATATTACATATTATATATTACCACATAGCAGATCTATACAGTTGGAGCTGGGGAAGATGGGGGGTTTCTGAAGCGCACTGCAAATTCTATGTATAGCAAGCACTAGCCAAGTATTTAAATGTTGAGCAGCAAGCTCATTGGCTGCACCATGCGGATAATGACATGATTATGATTTATGATTATATCGGACTGAGTTAGAACCTATCAGCCTGCACCATCTAGAGTTTCATGACAGAACTTTGTATTTGCATCCTATACTAAATTCTGTTGTTTGCTCGTTTGTTTGTTGTTCGTAGTCTTTCGGTTCGGTTCGGTACACGTGTACCGAAACAGTCTCATCTTTCAAATTGTAATTTTTTCAGGAAATTCAAACAATAAATGCCATTTTGCCGCTGTTTGAGGTGGCGTGACAGATTGCTGTATAGGCGCCTTAGTTTGAACGGCACGAGTGATCGTGATCATCCCTTACTCTTTACTAGTTTTAACACAAAATAAACATGAATAAACATCTTGTGACACATGTAATCGCTCAATCAGTGTTTCAAATGCAGAAAGACGTCAATAGAACAGCTTGTAAACAAAATGTCATGTAGCATTTCATTTACCTCCGGCAAGTACCTCCGGTAACTACCTTAAAAAGTAGCTGCCTTACATAGGTAGTAGACAGCAAGGCACCCCTTCTTGCTGAATATGATAAGAATATGCTCCCTGCCTTTAAATAGTTGCTAACAATCTTAACA